ATCCGGCTGTACCCGCGACGACGGCGACGAGAGCTCCAGTCCATCGCCCAACAGCAGCCTCTTGAACAATCTCAACAACAACTGCAACTCGAACCGCCAATGCGCCACCGACTTTAGCATCGCGGCCATCATGGCCCGAGATTCGCGACAGCAGCAGCAGTCTCAGGAGTCGCAGCAGCAGCCGCAGACCTCGCCGTCGCCACAGCAGTCTACGCAGCCTACGCAGCAATCGCAACTCCAGCAGCAGCAGCCGCATCACCATCGACAGTTGCAGCAACAGGCCGTCGGCGGCGGCAAGCTGCACCAACACGGTGAGCCTTCTTCTCCCTTTTCCTCTCCATTTCGTCCATTTTTCCACACACTCTCGTTATCGAGATAAAAATATCTCGTTTTTCTCGGACGTCGGGTAACTTACGCGTCGTCGTTTCGTTCGCGACACTGTCTCCGGACGTCCACCCCCTGCCCCCACTCCGCGCCGATGCCGATGGACGTCCAAAGGGACGTAAAGTTGCGGTTAGCCAAACGGTTGGCAGAGGGAAACGCGCGTGGAAGAGTAGGAGGGCGAGGAGGGCGAGGAGGGCGAGGAGGGCAGGCCGGTTAATGAATTATTTAGCGGGGAGGATTGTGAATGAAACGGCGCGCGTTAATTCGCCAGGCGAGAAACGGTCGTTTCGCGCAGCCAGGTGAGGTGTCTCATCGGAATTCTGGAAACGACCGTGGCTCGCTTTGCCCAGCCAGACGTCCGAACGAGACTCGACGGTGTTTGGTTTCATCATCGCGTATCTTGGACGCCCGCGGCGAATAATCGCCCACGAAGATTCTACGCGGACGAAATTTACGGTTGGCCACGGTGCAATTCACCCACGGAAACGGACCGTCGTTCCCAAATAAACTTGGGTAAACGGCGCGATGAATCGACCAGGCTCTTTCTCCTCTGCGTGCACGTGTGTTGGACACGCGCGACTACTCTCCTCCTCCACCTCCTCCACCTCCACCCCCCTCCCCCGGAACCTTCCGCCCATTCCAACACCACCCCACCCCAAAGGGGCCCCCGGTTCGCTGCCTCGCCGCCAGGCTTTACGCTGGAAATTGTTAAATAAATCGCTAATCCCGAACTCGCCTCGTGACTCGTTAACCGACAACAAACTATCCCCTTCCGAGGATCGCGTTTCGGTAGCGTGTTCGCGGCTGTCCCACGTTTTCCCGCACCGTTCGCGCCCGCCAATTTCACCCAGTCCGGAACGACCGCCGAGAGACGGTAGCTCGTCTGCGCGTGGCCACCGACGAGGGAAAAAATGTCACGCCGCCGGATAGGGTTTCGTCCGAGTGTCAACCGTAATAAATAGCCAATGACTTAGTTAAGCGAGAGTCCCTCGGCTGGGAAGTTAGGTAATCGCGTCGATTAACTCCAGAGCCAGAGGATCGCAGGCTCCGGAAACGCGAAAAGTCTCTTGCAAAATTTCCGATACCGGTTGACAGCTGATAAGAGGAACAACGATAACTCACGATCGTGTCGTACGCGATATCGGTGTTGGAGAGGCAGATAGCGTCGGCAGCGCGTAAACCTCGATCGCGAACCGCGAAAACTGGCTCACGTGCGATTTCGTAGACGGTCACCTGGACCGGTGTACCGTTCGAACGATCATTTCTTTCCCGTACCTTCCATATTTTTCGCGTGTTTCTCGCGAAAAATCCACCACGGCCAAAGAGATTTCTCGCGGCGATAGGCGATAGGCGATAAGCGGCTCCGATAAGCGTAGAGACGAACGATTTTCGGTCAATCGACAATTTTATCGTCGTCCAATTTCGAACGAATGGAAATTTCAGGAAACTCCCTGAATGTACAGAGTGCATTCTGCAAACTGCTTTACGCGTTGCGATTAATCTCGCGGTCGTTCTCCGCGATAGAGTTGGAGGTAACTAGACGTCGGAGAAGGTATCGGGACAGAAGCGGGAGAGACGTCGAGTAGTTTACTCCCCGGCATCTGGGGACTGTGTCTGCGATATATGTGTATAAGATAAGGTTATTTAGCTCGATCCACGAATGATTCGGAGGTTGTGGAAAAATGGTTGGATATCGCGACGCGGGCTAGAAGGCCGCGTGGGAATTCCACGAAGCGTGATCTAGAGAACGCGTATCTCGTCACGGCTGGATTAATTTACGTTTGGCGAACAAACAACTGCCTCTTTTAATTAGCTGTCGACAGATTGATCGATCGACCAGAGTCTCTCTGTCGCAATCAGATAACGCGCTAATGCTCCGCGTAACCGGCCGGCAAACCTACGTTCATTTTTCAAGGAACCGAAGCGCGAGTTACTCTTCCTCTTCCATCGGACCTTCGACCGCTCTCCACGATCGCGACAAATGTTGCCCGTCGGCGAACCGACCAATAACGTGCCGGGGATCGATCTATTCGGATACTACAATCTCCGGGCAGAGAGATAGGATCTACATTTGTTGCGTCGCGCTCTCGAGAGCAGGTTTAAACGGCAGAGGTTTGTCTGCGGGTTAAAAATAGGAAGGCGAATTGGCGATTGGCCGCGAAGGGTGTACGCGGAAACTGCTAGGAAAATTGTAAACTACATATATGTATAGCGGCGTGAGAACTGGGGGAAGGTGGAGGAGGAGGAGGAGGGCAGGCTTCTCGTAGATCGTGGGAGGACATTAGCGGTGGGACGCGTTTCAATCTGTCCTCCTTTGCGTCTTTGATCCGGCGGCACTGGCGTGCACTCGCAACCGTAACTCACTTGACGAGGCCGGTCGTAAACTCGGACGAAACTCGTGCTCTCGCAGCCGGCAGACGCCCAGCCACGAACCGTTCCGGCGACTCGTCATCCGTTTCGTCAGTCGTTTAACACCGCCGTTCGCCGTGTCGAATAAAAATACGCGGATGACAGACCACACATCGCGGCAACGTTCCCTGACCGGCCAATTAGCCGCTACGACCTCGCGAAAATTCCCCTTCTGAACTGGTACCCGTGCGCGTCCCGCGCGACACCTCCTCCGCCTTTTCCCCCGTCCGCCTTTTTTCTCGTCCGCCTAGGAACGCTCCTATTGCTCGTCGAAACGAGCACGATTTACTGAGTTAAGTAAAGTAGTTACGATTGGCGTAGCTCGAACTCGGTCGAGCGTTTCCTCGCGATGGAGAACCGCGTTAATTCGGAATCGCGAAAGAGGGAGAACGGCCTTTTCCTATCCTCCAAGAGCGGAGAGAATCGTTTTAACGAGCGAAAGTAATTTTTAAGCGCGCCGCGTTAAGCGAAATACACGGCTGTAAAGGTATCGACGTAGAAAATCTCGTGCGAAAGTGGCCACTAAAAGGAACGGTATTTATTATTAATTTATTCGCGATAACTGCGAGTTATCAGGTGTTGTGCGGTAGCCGAATTAATCGCGCGTCTGATCGAAAGAAATCGTTTCGTCCACGACGACGGTAATTAGCCGGCGAAACTCGACTCTGCTCCGCTCGGCTCCGCTCGGCTCCGCTCGGCTCCGCTCGGCTCCGCTCGATTCGATTCGATTCGATTCGATTCGATTCGCGTCGGGTGTTATTCGATCGCGGCGAAAAACCGGCCGAACGAGGCCACGCGGATCCTCCCGAGCGAGACGCCGCGCCGATTTCGCGAACGCTCTCCACGGGGGGCGTTCTATTTCAACGCGGCTCTTTCCTCTTTCGGATCGTCTAGCCTCGCGTTGCCTCTCCGCTGCAAACCGTAATAAAACTGGTAACTGTTGGCTGCTGTGCCGCGTATGTCAGGTGTCAGCTATCGATTTTCCAAGGGGGGTTTGCCTCGCGCGAAAAATTCACTCCTGCGAATTTTCACAAATTTTCTCTGCCTCGTCCACGTCGTCGTCCCGTCGGTCAACTTTTCCCCGCCTTACCTTACCGCGAGAAAGAGAGAAAGAGGGAGATTATAATTTCACGAACCGCTTGGTGCGGCATCGGTCGGGATAATAACGTTAAAGTAAAGCAAGCTTGGTCGTAAGTGGATAATTATCCTTTAGCAGCCGCTACCGCGGCGTCGTTATTATCTCGGCCAAGAGAGACGCGGCGACGACCACGGCTCGCTCTAACGAACGCCAGGAACGGAGGGAGAAAGAGGGGGAATCAGCGTTTGATTACGCTGCTCTAGCCCGTCGCGGCGTCGCGCGAAGCACGGAGTAAACGATCCTTGAAAATTGCGCGGAATCGATTAATTACGGCGAGCCGCGTGCTAGATTAGGTTCTGCTATCCGTTGCCGCTCTTCGGAAATTCAGCATCTGTCGGCCGGCCGAAACGCGCGTGTCCAAGAGGATCGCGTGATTAGATTTACGCAACCGCGAAATTGACAATTCAGACGGCTGTTAATTAACCGTGGGGAAGAAAATTCGTCGTATCACGGTGGTTTTCGCAATAATCGCCGTCGCGAAACATTAGCCGCGAATTACCACCGGCGATAACGGCAATTTTCTTTCTCGCGGCGCAGCCGTAAAACATCTTCGCGTTTACCTGGGAACCTTTCGATGTACCGGCCGCGCAGATATTTGCAAGATTATCAGCACGCAAGTCGGGATTTCCTCTCGCCTCGATAACCACGATGCGACCAATTAATTATCCGTCGCCGTTCCTGTTTCTTTCCCATCTGCGACACGCGTGCGCGCGACCCACGGAGGAGAACCGCGGAAGAAGGAGGGTCCTCGCGCTATTAACGGTTTCTGGCGTCTGGATCGTGACAGAAGCGAGAGCTTCCGCTCGCGCAACTTGCCAGCTCGCCGGTTTAATTAGCTCTCGCGTCGCTTTCAGAAAGGGAACCGAGCGTTTCTGGCGTGGTCCGCGGTGCTCCGGCGATCCAGGAGTCGATCGTCGCGGAGGACGATCCGGAGACGGACGACGCCGGAAGCACCAGCGGCAAAGCTGCTTCCCCCGTGAATCCTCTGCTTCAGGAACGATCCAACTGCGAGGAGCTCAGGCACGTGGTGTGTCACCTCGAAACGAAAGACTTGTGGGACAAATTCAACGAACTGGGCACCGAGATGATCATCACCAAGACAGGAAGGTAAGGATCTATCGAGTAAGCGTCGTTCGGTATTCCGTGACCTGTGTATGCATGTACTAGTCGAGAGGAAATCGCGGGAGAAACACGCGAGGAAGGATTTTTCGACCGTAGGCAACCTGAAATTGAATCGCGAGGCGAGAAATGAAAAGGAGCAGAAAGAAGGAAAGAGCGGTGGCAGAGGTGGTCGATTAAATTGGTACGTCGAGCGTGGGTCAATTAGTCGGAAACCGGTGTGGAAACCGAACGAGCTTATGCCAGTTTGTAAAGATGCTCGAGAGCGGAGGTTGCGACTATCGTGGAATCCGCTCGCGGATCTGCCATGCCCCTACTATTATACTTGCCGAATGCGCCTCGCGTCTATTCTCCTTCGGTTTTCCTTCTCGCGAAAGTTTCGCGTCCACACGGCGAAGGGAAGAAAGATCGGAGATGGAAAGGGGACGGAGCTATACATATAGGGCGACGCGGCGGACGCGCGCCTAATTGTTCGCCACGGAGGCAACATCCGTACTTCTCCTCGATACTCGCCAACTCCCGAAGGGGTTTCGCGTTACCCCACTGCGCGCTTACTCGCGCGTTAGTAATTAGATCTGCGCCGCGACGCTGCTCGTCGCACCCTTCACCCGTCAACTTACCGTCCCCCGCCGGTACGACCCGCCGCGTCCGCCGCCTCCGCCTTTGTCTTCCCCGTAGTCCTCCCATCCTGCCGAGACCCTACCCTCTCCGTTGTTTCCCGTTCTTTGCAGAGACTTAAAGGGCAGAACCTTCCCCTTCCATTTCTTTCCTCCCTTCTCGCGACTACTCCACCCCTGTGCACACGGTGGCACACGGTGGCGTTTCCAAGTGGGCGTGAACGTTTCCGAAGGAGGGAATTCGCCAAGCTTTAACGACGTCGAATCGACGAAAGAATCGTCGCGGATTTGATTCTCGCGGCGAACAGATCCGGGGAGAGAGAGAGAGAGAGAGTGAGAAGGAGCGAGGGTGGGTGAGGAGGTCGCGAGCGAGGAGAGAGGTGGAATCGAGCTTCTCCCGCGAGGCGAGTTCAATTCATTAACAAAGGACGGCTTGATAAATAAAAGCATTACTCACGCTCGTGGCGCTGGCGGGATGAATGCATACCGAGTCGACAAGGACCGAGGAGAAGACGTAGATAAGATCGGCGGGTGTCCCCGCGTTTTAGTGGTCGAGCAGCGGGGGGCCCGACACGGTATTAATGTTTGGCCTCCGAGGCAAAACATTCACGCCAGGCCTGATCCTCTGCCCCCTCGGCTCTGGGCCGCCTCGCCTCTCCTCGCCTCTCCTCGCCTCGCCTCGCCTCGCCTCTCCTCGCCTCGCCTCGCCCTTCCCCCTTGCGTTAACCCGAAAATCGCCGCACCGCGGACCGTTTTCCCACCCTCGCGCTCTCACTCCTTTTCTCAGCCGGCTCGTTTCTGTCGCAGGCGAATGTTCCCGACGTGCAGAGTGTCGTTCAACGGATTGAAGGCGGACAGTCGGTACGCGGTCTTGATGGACATCGTTCCGGTGGACAACAAGAGGTATCGGTACGCGTATCACAGGAGCTCCTGGCTGGTAGCCGGAAAGGCCGATCCTCCAGCGCCCGCTCGCCTCTACATGCACCCGGATTCGCCTTTTACGGGCGAGCAGCTTCGAAAGCAGGTCGTCTCGTTCGAGAAAGTCAAGCTCACCAACAACGACATGGACAGGCACGGCCACGTGAGTATCTCTACGGTTGCGCGGAGTCACCGCCACCCCCGATTTCCTCGATCCGCGTTTAATCTCGTTTTCGTCTCCGTTCCGTCGCGTTTTTCGTTGCATTACCTACTCTTACTGCGGTCCAACGTTTCGGTTCACTTCGATTCGGTCCGTGGCAGTGTCGCAGCCGGGTTATCCGGTCCCTCTTCGGCATCTACGGCGGCGGCGGCAGCGGCAGGGCAGCAGGTTTTTAATTCATCGGATGACTGACGTAAATAGGAACTCCGATTGGGGCTCTACGGTTCTTCACGGTACTCATTTTGTATTCAGGGTGTTACACGCTGCCAGACGAAGGCAAAGTGATTCTTTTGAATGGTAAGCGGGGAACGTCCGAGACCGGCAAAGTGCTCCTAATTCATACGCTTTTTCTCCCGTCGAAAGCCCCTCGTATCGTCGATCTATCGCTAATCGGGACGATGGTACTACGACCGTCGACTCTACACAGTCGAGAGAAGTCGAGAGAAGTCGAGAGAAGTCGAAAAAGCAACGGCGCGGCGACCTAATCGGTTCGAGTTGAAAGATCGACGCGAGCGCGCGCGCTCCTTTCGCAACGGCAACCGCGACGTCTGTTCCAAACTGATTCGTTTATTTGCAAAAGCATCGCACCAAGATACTGGCCTGTAAATCCTCTGACGAAACGCGACGATTTGCAGCTGGTGTTGAACTCGATGCACAAATACCAGCCGAGAATTCACCTGGTGAAGCGACCGGATTCGGGCACAGCCAAGCCGATAACGGACCTCGAGAAGGAGCCTCACAAGACCTTCATATTCCCGGAGGCGATATTCACCGCTGTCACCGCCTATCAGAATCAACTCGTAAGTCTCCCTTTGTTTCTCGCTACCGCTCTATACGCTACTCCTCTCTCTCTCTCTCTCTCTTTCTCCTTCTCTCTCTATTTCTCTCTCTCTCTCTCTCTCTCTCTCTCTCTCTCTCTCTCTCTTTTTTTCTCACGCGGTCCTCGTGAGCTGCCCTCGCCGTGACGCGACGCGTCACCCTGCAGTGCCCTCGGGACTGCTTCTCCCTCGCTCGACTTTCGCTCCGGATAATCGTTTTCTCTCCACCGATTGAAACGTACAAATTGCCTCCTCTCTCTCTCTGTCTCTCCGCGACGTTTAAATTATCGAGGTTCCCAGCATGTTTCGGCTACAGATAGGTACGCTATTTAGCCAGCATACGTAGATCGTAGATTTAACCGGGCGACGACGATTCTTCTTGAACGCGTCCAACTTGGGATTCCTCGGTTCGGAGCGCGAGAACGCCGAGCGCAATCGTATTTTACGATAGTCGTTTAGCAGAGACCGCCTGGTGTGTGGTCCGACTCGCGGTCGTTCGCATTCCACGGGCGTCGCGATGCCTCGCGGCCCGATTTCCGAGCTGAGGCCTTTGCGACGTCTCTCCCCTCTCCCCTCTCCCCTCTCCCCTCTCC